CATCATTATTTTGAACTCTCAGATAAATTTATTATCTCCATTTTATTTATCTCTTCTTCTGGAGAATTCTCTTGGTCTCTTATTTGGGGGTTGTTTCTTTGTATCCTCATTCTAGGTGCCTGTTTGGGTTTGTGACTATGTATTATGTAGAACTGCTCTGCCTCTCAATCTCTAGTGCAGGACAATGTCGAATGTTGTTTCTGATTAATTAGATCAGGCAAAGACTCAAAACCTCCAGAAACTGCTTCTGTTTGAAGACTATTTGGATCTAGTCTTGAATAGCTCTAAGGAAATTGTCCATAGGTATGGTGAGAATTTTTCCCAACAAGGTGGGGGAAATTGCTTCTGCCTGGAAGCTAGTTGTTATTTTCAGTCTTTTAATAACAAAAAATCCACACTGTGGGGCAAAGTGTGTTCTAATAGGGTAGATCAACTGTCTTCCCCCCAAGCAAAACAACCTAGATGCCTATTGTCTGCATGAGAAAGATGATTTCTACAGTGAGAGAGAATGACTCAGCACAGGAAAACAGAGGCCTATCTTCTGAGCTCTAACCCCAGGATCCTCAACCCTGGCTTCTGCTCACACAGCTCCAGTCCACTCTTCCCTCTCTCTGCTGGAGAACAGGATACACAGGAAATTTTGTGCATTGGTCCTTTATGAGGGTGTCTGTATTTCTGGCTATCTCTCCCTGGCAGACAACAACCCTGCAGCTTTTCACAGTCAGATGTTATGTTGGTTATCCTTCTTAGTTCTAGTGTTCTCTGCTGGGAGGCCCAGCTTGGGGATTAGACCCAAGAGTTCTCAGTCCTGCAGCTGAGATATCTCTCTGGAACTTCATTTGTTTCCTGTGAGTCTGGTCAACTCTTTCATGCCTCCACCCCTCCTATAGTCTCTATGTGGTCTCCACTTTCTGTCCTTGATTATTAGGATTCTTTCCAGCTAGTGTCCAATTAATTATTTAGGAAGCTTTTCTTTATTTTAGTTGTAATTCGTTTATCCTGAGGAGCATGTTCATGCAGCATCCATTTACTCTGCTGCCATTTTTAATCTGTATAGTTATTATTTTAAACTAGAGGCCCAGTGCATGATATTTGAGTACTCGGGGGATTAGGGGAGGCTGGGAGAAGGAGGTCCTCAGCCTGGCCTGCACCCTCTTGCAGTGCAAGAGTCCTCGGAGGGATGTCCAGCTTCTGGCTTAGTGGCGTTCCCCTTGTGGAAGCTCACTGATCACCAGGGAGCAGTTCCTGCATTGAGCATCTGCCCCCTGGTGGACAGTATGCATCGTAGCAACCAGTCATTCCACTGTTTGGTCAATTTGCATATTAGCCTTTTATTATATATGTTGTTTACACAATTATTTCAGGATTGTGTGGTATATGAACATATGTACCTGCCTGTATATTACCAAGTCTTCTGATTCTACCCTGTTTCCCTGAAAATAAGACAGTGTCTAATACTATTTTTTTCTCCCAAAGTTGCGCTAGGTCTTATTTTCAGGGGATGTTTTATCTTTCCGTGCACTAGGTCTTATTTTCGGAGAATGTCTTATTTTCGGGGAAACACGGTAAATATAAATTATCTTCCATAGGCTCTTCTTCCAAGCATTTCCACTGTTTTCGCCCTTGTTCTGATTTATACAACATTTTAAAATGTGGGTTTTTGGGTTTACAAAATGCTTACATATTGTAAAAAAAAAATAATACGGATAGTTAGACATATCTACTCACCTCTCATCAACCCTTCTTTACTACCAAGCCTGCTTCAGGGGTTGCATGATTTATTGTGCTGCTGTTGACTTCTTGAAATTCTTAATAATTCTGAATACAGAATCCTGTATTTTCTGTTTTTACTTGGCCTTGAAAAATTTGTAGCCAGTCCTGTTAACATCCCAGCCTCTTTCACTCCTTCCCTCTTATGCAATCACTCTGAACTGTTTGCTACTTCCAGAAAATTTCCATGTATGTAAGCATGTTTGCATTAGTTTTTCCATCGATGAGGTTATACTATACAAATTCTACACTTTTTCTTGCCTCCTCAGTGGTGCATGACTGAACTTTTCCATGAAATTGCCTCCATCTCCCCAGCACCCATTTCCTCCTTCCCTCAGTCAGTCTCCATACCTCTACAGGATGAGCTTTCTAATTTGGTTTTTGCCACTACTCTGCTTAAAATGTACAATGCTTCCCTGTTGTGTATAGAGGAAATTAGCATCCTGGCAAACAAAAGGGACTCTGTAGGGCCATTGCCAATGTTCTGGTGAATTGAGTTTCAGAGCATGCAAGTCTGAAGGACAACTCTGCACTAGGAAAATCACCAAGATAAGTCTTTTCTGCAAAGAAGTCAGGTCTCTGCTCATATCACCTAATCTGCACATAGGCCTTTATTTTTATTTATTTATTTATTTTTAAAATATATTTTATTGATATTTTACAGAGAGGAAGAGAGAGGGATAGAGAGTTAGAAACATCAATGAGAGAGAAACATCGATCAGCTGCCTCTTGCACACTCCCTACTGGGGATGTGCCCGCAACCAAGATACATGCCCCTGACTGGAATCGAACCTGGAACCTTTTAGTCCACAGGCCAACACTCTATCCACTGAGCCAAACTGGTTTCGGCAGGCCTTTATTTTTAGACTTTACAATATAGAATCTGTCTAATAGATAGGAAAAAGTGATCTTAACTTTTCTTACCATTACTTTGTAAAGTGGTGAATAATTAACTTTAAAATTAGCAAAGACAGTATTAGGGACTTCATATTTGTGTCCCCCTCAAATTTATATGTTGAAACCTTAACCTCCATGTGATGATATTAGGAGGTAGAGCCTTCAGGAGGTAATTAGGTATAAATGTAGTCACAGAGTGGAGGCTAATTCTTATAGAAAGAGGAGGAGACCAGAGCTCTCTCTCTTTCTGCTTTGTGGGGACATAGTAAAGAGGCACCCAGATCTTGGACTTCTCAGCATTCTGTGAGAAATAAGTATCTCTTTAAGCTGTCCAATCCATGATATTTTCAGATAGACAGGAAGGAAGTCTTTAGCTTCCTTTCTACAATGTTGATTAATCTACAGCATAGGATTAGTTCATGTAGACTTATAATCTACACAAATAAAAGAGTAATATGCAAATTGGCCATACCTTTGCAACACCCACCAACCAATCAGGAGTGAGCATGCAAATTAACACAACAAAAGCTAGCAGGTTAATTTGCATACATCAGTGCTGAGTGGCCAGGGGAGGGACCAGATGCATGCGTTCCACACTGCCCCAGCCACTCCAGGTCTCTAGGCAGCGTGGTAAGGTGAAAAGGTGGTGCTGGGCCAGAGCAAAAAGGCGGCTCCAACTGGAGCAAAGGCAAGGCTGGCAGCTAGGGGAAGAAAGGCCCATTCTTGCATGAATCTTCATGCATTGGGCCTCTAGTTTTATAAATAAATAAAATAAGTCTAAGAGAAAACATAAGCCATATCCAAAGCCATGGAATTTAGTGACGAACTTAAATTAATATCTACTGCCCTTCAGGTTAATAGATTGTGACATTTTGGAATTTTCCTGAATCCTCTAAATTCTGAGGTCAGAATGGTATTCTGAAAGAGTTTAGATAAATCTGATTGTTATGGCAACAACTACTTTTATTGCTTCCAGTCCTGCATTTCTAAGCTATAAAGGTTCATTTGTCCAAGTTGATGGTTAAGAATGCCTGTATAGTAGCCACTCAAAGACCTGTGCCATCATGGATGAATTAACCTCTGAGCTTTAATTTTCTTAAGTGGAAAACAATAGATATAGTATCTATTTCACAGAACTATGATTAGGAATAAATAAGATTTTAACTTATCTGATTATACAACACATATTTATTCAGTGACTATTATGTACCAAAAATTGTGCTAACGGTGAGATTATGGCAATGATTCACACATATTTCCAGCCTTCATGGACCTAACAGTCTGGTTAGATGTAGGGTGTCAGAAAGCAACACAGTTCCTGTACAGAATTAATGCTCAGTTAATAAAAATATTTATAAATGTTTTCCCTTCCTTCCTACTTGATCTTTAGATAAAGTCTTGGTCACCGAATAGGGTTGTTTACATTGTAATCACCATGGAGAAGTCCATCCTTGGCCCTGCCCTCTCCCCCTTTCATTCTTCTTAAATTATTTGCTAATAGAAAATATAACCTGGAAACTGACATGCATCCAGTCCAGTGCCCCTTTCTTTATGCATTAATAGAGGGTAAAAAAATAAAATAAAATCAAAATCAGTTTTTTAACTCAATCTTGTCCAAAGGTAAGAGTTTACAATTTTTTATGGAAATGCCCATGTAATAGATGAGCTTTGAAAATCTGGATGAGGCTTAATTACTTCATAGTAACCAAGCATCTCAGCCCATGTGCCCAGCTTGCAGGTCTGAGAGCTCTGCTGGAATGGACCTAGTCAAGTGCGCCTCGCAAGAAGGCTGCATGGCCAAGAAACCAGCTCAGAAGCCACCCTGAAGGAAAGGCGCCCAAGGAAGACCCTGCGAGCCCTGCTCAGGAACGTGAAGGACATCGCCAGGCCAGCGTGCAGAGACCATGCCATGCTCTTGGCAGCCCAGCAGAAGGGAGTCTGACATGCAGGAGCATTGCACTGCTGTGCGGGCTGCAGATGTCTGTGTGGCCTGCTGAGCCCTATTAGAGCTGCAGTTGTCCAGGCCAGCTGCTCCGGACGGCCAGCTGTCAGCGGACATGGCGAGCCCTTCCCAATTCTTGCTAAGAAAACGAGCACGGGATGGGATCAGCACAGGATATGACTTTAATATCCTCCATCTGTCCAAGGAGACGTATTTGGAAATAATGACGTGCTTTCACACAATAATTGTTAAGGCTCCTTTAGGATAGCATTCACACAAGTTAAAAAGCCAATTGCATGGTTAGTCAGGCTCTGCGGAGTGAGAGGGCAGGGATTGGTGGTGCTGAGGGTGGTGTCAAGGAAAGGATGCCCCCGCTGAATCCAGAACCTACCTTCCTCGCTCCCAGGCACTGCTGCAGCTGAGGCTTAGTGAGGACACCATACTGGCAGTTGTGGGGCTGCCACGTTATTTCTCTCCAATCACAGGTCCTGTTGTCTGAACAACTAAGGCAAGGCATGATCCATTGGCCTGGAATAGACACCAAAACCTCCTTTGGTTCAGTTTCTACTGGTGACGTGACAGTTTGCCAGGAACCTTGGGATTCAGCCTTGGCACACCCTCCCAGAAGCTGCGGTGAGAAGACTGCTCTGGCCACACAAATCCAGTGGAGCCATGTGTGGCCTTTCCAACTGAATAGGATCTCATACATGATGATCTGGAATAGCACAGTTCATGCTGAGTTCTGTTCTGGGAAGCCGTGCACTGACACAAACTCTAGTGATCAGGTCCTACTCAACTGAAAAGCATATTTTTAAAAATAACTTTACCCACACTCAGTATTTTGTGCAAGAGCCACACTAAATGGGCCAAAGAGCCACATGTGGCTTGTGAGCTGCAGTTTGCCAACCACTGCTCAAACTACTTAGCAACACCAGCCAGGGCAAATTCTAGTATATGTGTTCTTTTGATTTAATATAGTCATTGAAATTATTTCAAAGAGTTGTAAAATAATTGTACTCACCCTGGGTATTTAAAAAGGGACCATAAAATTATAATCTATGGCTCAGTGGTTGTCACAGTTCAATTCCAGGTTAGGGCACATACCCAGGTTGCAAGCTTGGTCCCCAGTGTGGAGTGTGCAGGAGGCAGCCAATCAATGATTCTACCTCATTATTGATGTTTCTATCTCTTTCTCTCTCTTCCTTCCTCTCTGAAATCAATAAAAATATATTTTAAAAAATTAAAAAAATAATTAAAAAAATAGTCACAATTTTAAACTGTAAAATTAGACCCATAGGACCAACATAGGTGGGGAGCCACTAATATTGAGGTAGCTGGCCATAAAGAGTGATTAGTTTAACTCATGCTTATGTGAGTAATCCATTAAGAAAATTACTTTTACATTCTCACAATTTATTATTTTGAAGACTAGTTTCTTCATTTGATGGGTGTCTTTTTTGGTGTGAATCTCTTCTCTTTTTATCTCCATTGCCTTTATTTCTTCAGCTGTTAGATGAGGTATGTAGTGTTCTCACATGACTGGTGTGAGGATTTAATGGGATAATGTGTTTAATGCATCAAGTGCAGTTACAATACCATACTCACTTTTGTTCCTAGTAGATTTCAGGTACCGAGTAGGTCCCCAGCTTTAGTAAATGTGTACAAAATAAATGAATATTCTCAGTGTATTAAGATCTTTTCTATTTTGTTGATAAGGTAATATGCACCCAAAATATATTAAATAAAATAAGTGTGAGTAGATAAATTAATAATTTACTAGAAAAAAAATCAAGAAATGACTTGATTTTCCTTGTTTATCTTTTCAGAAATGGAGTGTGAACTGGCACATTAAGCATGAAGTAGTCATTTCTCTCCTTTGTGGAGAATACCCTACTCTCTACAACAGTAATCTGCTCTACCTTACAGGTCTTGCCTGTGTTACCACTAAATGTTTCTCTTTAAAATGTTGAGAAGGTAAATATTCCCAGGAACTTTTTAAGTTTGAAAGGAAAAATTTGAACAACTGTATCCATTCTGGCTCTGATGTGTGGCTCTGCTAACGCAAGTGTCCGGTGTTCCATTGATCTTAGTGGGAAGAGTTTCTCCTTTCAGGGGATGAATAGGGGTCACTTGCACCTCATGACCAGGGGGATGGCCAAATTGTGTATGCATTGTGTATGTGTGTGAAAAGAGAGCTGGCTTTTGTCTCACTAATACATTTTCCCCCTAATAGAAAGGGGAAAAATGTGTATTTACGTTAAGAGAGAGAAACTGGGGGAAATAAAAGAAAATATTATTCTCTAGGAGTATTTAAATTTAGTACATTATTGAAGTAGCTTCCCTATCAGATGCTAGATGCTGTTAGTGTTAAAATATCATGACAACTTAAAAAATATTTAACATTTTCATAGCACCTGGCAGGTGCCAGGGATATTATAAGCACTTTTAATAAATTATCCAATTTGAGCCTCCTAACTATGATGCTAAACCTCAAATATTTATAATCAGATAAAAAGTTTATAATGTATGCAAGTCAAATAATTATTATAATAAGTAATGCATAATTAAGTAAAGACATCTGTGTGATCCTGAAAGAGCCTAGGCTTTGGAGATACACACCTGGGCTCTGCTTCCAGCGAGCTCTGTGGATCTCAACCCTGCCCAGTAGGGCCACCTGGAAAGCTTTTAAAAATCACCCATGCCAGGTTGTTTGCTAGGCCAGTGGTCAGCAAACTCATGAGTCAACAGAGCCAAATATCAACAGTGCAATGATTGAAATTTCTCTTGAGAGCCAATTTTTTAAAACTTAAACTTATTCTAACGCCACTTCTTCAAAATAGACACGCCCAGGCCAAGGTATTTTGTGGAAGAGCCACACTCAAGGGGGCAAAGAGCTGCATGTGGCTCGAGAGCCACAGTTTGCAGACCACTGTGCTAGGCTAATTAAATCCGAGCTGCTGGGCTGGGTATGGGACTCATGGAGGTTTTTTTATTTTATTTTAATTAAATATAGTTAAGTTTATTTTCACTAATATTTTTTCTTTATTGTTGAAAGTATTACATATGTCCCTCCTTTCCCCCCATTGATCCCCTCCAGCCCACTCCCCCCCACCTTCAGCACCCTATTGTCTATGTCCATGAGTTATGCTTATATGCATATAAAATCTTTGGTTGATTACCTCCCATCTACCCACCCGACCACACCTTCCCTCTGAGATTCTACACTCTGTTCTCTGCGTCCATGTCTCCGGATCCACTCCATTCACCAGTTTATTTTGTTCATTACATTCCACATATGAGTGTGATCATGTGATACTTGTCTTTCTTTGACTGACATATTTCACTTAGTATGATATTCTCTATCATGGAGTATCTTTGAAATGCTTTTCAAGTAATTCCATATGCACCCAAGGGTGGAACCACTGTTAAACTTGTACAGGTTACTTAATTTTCTCTGTATGGAAAATATGTATGGCACCTGCCATAGTGCCTGATACAGTACCTAGCAATTGATGAATACACTTTACTCCCCTACCCACAAGTAGTTTAGAATAAAGAAAGTGTCATGGGGGCAAGAGTTGTCTGGAAGGTTCCATGGAATGCATAAACTGAAATGAGGTCTATGGATAGACAAGATTTGGACATATGGAATCGGTGGTGTTTAGGGACAGTGATGGGGTGGACCTGAGAGAAGTGAGGCTGAAGAAGTGACTGTATGTATTGGAGAGAAAAGGGTCTGCTGGGTGAAAGGTGTTTCCAGTTTCCATCTGTAGAGTCTAGCAGTGAAATTAAAAGATACAACACATGCCGAAACTGGTTTGGCTAGGTGGATAGAGTGTCAGCCTGGGGACTGAAAGGTCTCAGGTTCGATTCCGGTCAAGGGCATGTACCTTGTTTGCAGGCACATCATTGGTGGGGGGTGTGCAGGAAGCAGCTGTATCTCTCTCATTGATATTTCTAACTCTCTATCCCTCTCCCTTCTCCCTTCCTCTTTGCAAAAAGTCAATAATAAAAAAAAATGATACAACACAGAAAACATTAGGAGTGTGCTTGTCTCTTGTATAATTTTTTTGCACTTTTCATTCAAAATAGAACTTTCTTTCTACATCTAATTTTTCCTGGCACACAGGGTTTGTAATCCACAATCAACCCCTGCACCTCTTTGCTTGGCCTCTTCTAATTCTATGTGATTTAGACATAGCCTTAAGTTTAATGTTTGATTAATTTTTTAAGAAAACCTCCTCTGGCGGTGACTTTACTTCATAGAGATTTGTATTTTGTGGACATATAAAATCCTCTTGGAGGGGATTCAATGGGCCTTGGATCTCCTTTTCTTTTAGAAATGAGGTAAACTGAGGCCTACAGCATTGAATGAAGAAGTGAAATCATGCCAGGACTGGGCCAGAACTGAGGCCTAGAAGTCTCCACTTTGCTGATCCTTTTATCAAGTTAGGTCAGCACAAAATCACCAGCTGAAAATGAAATATGGCCTAACAGTGTCATTTGTAGCATTTACAGAAAAACCCATAAATAGGTTTTTGTATTTTAAAAAATATATATTTTATTGAGTTTTTACAGAGAGGAAGAGAGAGGGATAGATAGTTTAGAAACATCGATGAGAGAGAAACATCGACCAGGTGCCTCTTGCATATTCCCGATTGGGGATGTGCCAGCTACCAAGGGACATGCCCTTGACCCAAATCGAATCCGGGACCTTTCAGTCCACAGGCCAACTCTCTATCCACTGAGCCAAACTGGTTTCGGCCGTTTTTGTATTTTTTTAAATGAACTTATCTTTACTTCAAATTTTTCAACTTATTCAGTGGATTCATGTGTTGACAGAGATTATGTTTAAAACAAAAAGATTGTTGATTTTCTTCCTAAAAGGATGACGGGATATTGGGGACATGAAGGTGTTTCTGCTGATGAGATTATATTTAAAGGGCTCAGCTTTCATCAGATCCTCTCCCACAGACATACTCCTCTCTCTCCTCCAGCCCTTTGCTGTCAGCTAATTTTGCACAAACTGAGTCTTTCTTTGGTCACTTGCTGTTATGGCTGAAGAAACAAGTGGCCAAATAAATACAAGCACAAAGATTCAAATATGGGTACAGTTAGTTTGGGGTGGGGTGGAATGGACAACTGATTGGGTCTCTAAACACTTGGTCCCATTGATTCATACTATATTTTTATACAGTACTAACTGCATTTTTGTATTGGTTAACAACGCCTATCTTTCAAGTTAGTAATATTGCTTAAAAAATATATCTACAGGACTGGAGTTCCTTGACATCTTAAATGATACCTGCTCTTGGCTAAAATTGTCAAAAAGAAGAACATAAATTCTATGCTTTGTATTTAAACATTGAATGAATCAAAGCTGAATGAATCAAATCTTTATTTCAGATTTCTGAAATAAAATATGACATATGTTTTAGGGGAAAACATTCTGAGGCATAAAACTGCCTTCTGTGAGAAGTTATTTGATTTATAATTAAAGCTTTATATTTAATGAGAGTTAGATTTCCGCCATTTAAGTGAATGAGATCGGGCAATATAATGGAGAAAAAAAAGTAACTCTTTGATTTAGGGCCGCATTGAGATATAAAATCACACAGATGATAATACTAATTCTAGACTTTACAATGCTATAAAATAAAGCAGTTTTTACTTAAGAAGTAAAGCATACCAAGATTTTCATTATTAGAAACATTAAAGTGGAAGTTGTCATATTTCTTTCCTAAAAATAAGATCTGATTAACGCTTTTGTTCACATAGCATAAAGTAAAATCTGAACTATTTTCTTTAAAGGAAATTCTCATTCAGTAATCATTGTATACATTTCTTCTTTCTCCAAATTAGAAGAACTCTTTTTTCCTTGTGAAGTAACAGATTTTATTCTTAGGTTGTGTCTTATCGATAAATTATTTTCTAAAGGTTAGAAATCCAGTTAAGAATACAATATACAGCCACTCAAATTTACATTAGCTAGTGTTATAGAAAAGACATTGTGACCACCATTACATTGGCAAGGTGAAAGAATGAATCCAATTCTGCCAAATCCTTGTAATGGGAGGTGAAAACCAGGTTTTGGAAATCACCTGCAGCTTAAAAATATAAGAAGCTAAAGCTAGGGCTCCTAAGTAAACATCCTCCTGTGCTGTCTACTGGGATAACTTCCTTCAATAGAAGGGAGTCCTACCAGCAAGGAAGGAAAAGGATCTCCAGCAGCAAAAAAAAAAAAAAAATCCATATCCTTGCAAAAACCTCCAAAAACAATATTTAAAAAATCCATTCTTGCAAACCACTGTCCCCAATCTCACTCATTCACTTTAAATACATAGGACCTCAAGGACCGAGCAGTTATCCCTGGTTGACTGTGCCTCGGCTGCACATATTCTTCTGTAGAAGGGAGGAGGGCTTGGACATGATTTTAGTTCAGCAACCATTTTTTTTTTTTAAATTTTAATCCTCACCCGAGGATATTTTTCCATTGATTTTTTTACAGAGGGTGGAAGAGAGAAGGAACGATAGAGAAAAATATCTATGTGAGAGATACACATTGATTGGTTGTCTCCTACACACACCTGACTAGGGCTGGGGCTGGGGAAGAACCCACAACTGAGGTATGTGTCCTTGACGGGAATCAAACCTGGCACCCTTCGGTCCGCAGGTCGATGCTCTATCCACTGAGTAAACTGGCTAGGGCAGTTCATCAACCATTTTTAAATCATGTATTAGACACTAAAAGGTAAATAAGGGACAATCTCTGTTCTGGAGAAACATGCAAACCAGGGCAGTCATTAGTTATAAAGTATTGCTAATGTGCATTTGATATATGAATACACATATACTATACCGGACGTACATATACTTCTATACGTATATATTAAGTGCATTATAAAATAAGGATGAATAGATAAAAAGTAAACATATTTTAATCTTTGCTGGCTTCGTCCTGTGCCATGGACCATTCAGATCTATCAATCCACTTTACAGGCTACTGATTAGAGAAAGAAAGAGAAACGTGTAAATTAAGCACCCGAAACAGTGAAGTAAGTGATACTGGAGACATGTGCCCGAGGTATTCTGGGAGCACAGAAGAAAAGCTGCTCTGGAAGTGGGGTGGTAAAGAAAGGCTTCCTGGAGAGGAAGATAGAGCATCAGAAGACCGAGGCCAAGCTGGAAAGGCTGGTAGGAGAGGGAATGGCATGGACAATTAGCCTGGTGATCTGGGCAGCATTATTGGCATAAAAAGAGGTGGAGAGGCTGGGAGGAGCCGGGACACAGGAGGATCAGATTATGGAGGCCTGCAATTGTCAGACTAGGATGATGGGCTTGCTTGGGGATCAAATGGGAGGGGGTTTCTGTAAAGAAGCCTACCTACTCAAGTTCCCAGAAGGCTCCTGTTCTGTGGTGGCCTCTCCTGTAAGGAACAGGCGTAGTCACAGCTCCCTCTCAGGGCCTGGCCTTGGTCCCTGCAAACTTAATGGCCAAGACTTCTTGAAGAATCTTGATAATGTATCTTCAACTTCTTGTTGAAGAACTTTTGACTTGGTTCAGTAGGAGGAATGGAATTAATTTGTTTTATGATTCTCATAAATTGTCATCTGATTAAGAAAAATACTTACTAGACACATTGGTGTCTCTTTTGTATACAAGAGTATATATAATAACTGAATCTCCCTTCACCAAGAGAATCATGAATTATACCACCTGGTGCACCGTAATGGGCAAGCCACTCTGTATGCCCTGACTGTAATTTATTATTTAGAACACATGTTCAAGGATGAGGCTGTGCCCGTGCTTGTTAACTGGGGGTGCCAAACTGTGATTCGTCCTGCCCATTTGTGAAACTCATTTCCCATCTACACGGTGGTGTGAAGTTCATGGCAAGGGTAGAAAAGCTCCTGAGTGTTTTTTCAGACTTTTTAGATGAAGGGAGACCTGGGGTCAGGAGGCCAGCATGGGAACCAGGAATCTCAGAAAAGATGACCCCTGCACCTCTGCTGGCCTTGGAGGCATGTTCAGTCCCAGCTCTGGCTTGACCTCTCTGATCTCCACTGAAAGAAGCTTGGGGGCTGTGGCTGCAGGAGAGGGGCTGTGGCTGGGGGGTTGGGGGGGAGCTGTGGCTGCAGCCAGTGGTCTGCAGCCAGTGGTCACTCATGGTCTGCTCTCAGCTTAGGCAGGATTGAGCAACTCTCATTTGAATTGGACATCACAATTTTCCTGCCTCTATTATGGGAGCCATTATTAATCATTCCCAAAGACTTTTTTTATGTATATAATTAAAGAACATGATTTAAAATGAAGCGTATACCTGTCAGAATGGCTATCATCAATAAATCAACAAACAAGTGCTGTCGATGTGGAGTAAAGAGAACCCTCATGAACTATTGGTGGGAATGCAGACTGGTGCAGCCACTGTGGGAAGCAGCATGGAGTTTCCTCAAAATATTAAAAGTGAAACTGCCTTAAGACTCAGCAATTCCACTTCTGGGAATAAATCTGAAGAAACCCAAAACACCAATTCCAAAACGTGTATGTATCCATGTGTTTATTGCAGTTATTTACAATAGCCAAAATTTGGAAGCAATACAATTGCCCATCAGTAGATGAGTGAATAAAAAAGCTGTGGTACATTTACCAGAGAAATACTACTCTGCTGTAAAAAGGAAGAAAATTGTACCCTTTGCAACAGCATGAATGGAGCTGGGGAGCATTATGCTAAGTGAAACAAGCCAGTCAGAGGAAGACAAGTACCATATGATTTCACTGATATGCGCAATTTAATGAACAAAACTGAACCACTAAGCAAAATAGAGACAGACTCATAGAGAGCAGGCAGACAGCTGGGGAGAATGGGGCTGGAGAGGGAGGGAGGAATTGAGCAAGTAGAAAAAAAAAAAAAGAGGTAGAACTCATGGACATGGACAGCGGTGTGGTGATTGCAGAGGTGGAGGGAGATGGATGGAGGCAGAAGAGGGCCTAGAGGGGATAAATGATGTTGGAAAGAATAATATAAAGTTAAAAAAATAAAACTAAACATGTATTCTTTGCATTTCTTTGATTCGAAAGATGACAAATACTTATTTAGTGCTTACTCTGTAGAAATTACAGTGAGAAGTGAATTGATACAATGTGAACCAATGAGACTCCTGCCCTTGTGCAGCTGGCAGCCTGGGAACACTGACATTAAAATTATTGCATACATGATTATTTAAAGAATCCACTATGGGAGAAAAGCACAGGGTGTTATGGAAATCTATAATAATAAAAGTATAATATGCTAATTAGACCAGACGACCTTCTGGATGACCAAGCTATGACACCCACTAGTGCCAGGCCAGCCAATGCGGGTGCAATGCTATTGGCCAGGAGCCCGGAGGGTGGCCCAGATCACTGGTCAGCAGGGTGATCAGTTGGGGGAGGGGGATTGCTCCATGATCACCCCAAAGAGGGAGGCCCAGGCCACCGACTGGTGAGCTGTGGCGGGTGGGTGGGTCCTCCCTCTGTGAGGGAAGCCTGGGTCCCGGATGCCGAAGCGAAGCCAGTGCTGGCAGCTGGAAAAGGAAGGCCTACTCTTGCACCAATTTCGTGCACCGGGCCTCTAGTATAGAAAAAGGAAAAAACCAGAGACTCAAGGAAGACTGTAGCACAAGTCATGTTTGAGCTGAGGTCTGTAGATGAATACGAATTATGTGGGCAAAGAACAGAGGGTAAAGAGAAAAATATTTAATTAATCAAAATATTTCACATATTAAAACAATGCATTTACATTAATTACGTGTGTTGCAGTTCATACTAATGAAAAAGTGATTTATTGTCTTGAGCTTTTTGTATATGGATTTAAAAATAAGCATATACTTATCTGTATTAAAGTTTTTTAAAGAGATATAATAACTAATATTATAGTTACCTTTTGTGTCCCCAGATGGACACGTTTTTAGTTCGGGCTGTGAAAGGGCTTCAATGTAGTCAGAAGGAATAGGCTGTAACCCACAGGCTTCCTCCGGATGAATCAGCAAACCACAATCCTGCATTCAAATGATAGAAATTGTCACTGAAATGAACCTTCCCCGCAGTAATAAAATCTAAAAAGCAAGACCTTTTGTGTGTCAAATAACAACTTATGGATAAAAGAAAGCAATCCATGTTTACTCTTCTTAGCATATTGACTTACCGATTGTTGTTTTTGGTATAAGTAGCTTCTTACATTAGGGGCTTCATATAAATTCTAATGATAATTTAATCTTTATTTTGCTATTGATACTCATGTATTGCTTTGCCAATTTTATTTTTATTTATTTATTTATTTTTTTAATATATGTTATTGATTTTGTACAGAGAGGAAGGGAGAAAGATAGAGAGTTAGAAACATCGATGAGAGAGAGTCATCGATCAGCTGCTTCTTGTACACCCCCTACTGGGGATATGCCCGCAACCAAAGTACATGCCCTTGACCGGAGTTGAACCCAGGACCTTTCAGTCCCTAAGCCGACGCTCTATCCATTGAGCCAAACCGGTTTCGGCTGCTTTGCCAATTTTAAAAGAAATGCATGCAAGTTTTACTTTGAAAATATATCCGTGTGTTGACACATTAAAAATATAAAATACTATAAAGAGGATGATATTATCCTCTAACGTTGGGGAAAAGACAGTTCACGTGAGAAGGAAAGTGGGGAATATTCTGGAAGAAGGCTAATTCCACAGATGAATTTTATTTCAACATTTCTTAATTAGCCATGGTATGCCCTAAATACAAATAAATACATGTATTTTATTCAAAACATGTTCATGTCTTTGTAACAGTAGGTAACATCTCCCTGCCATGGGTATCATTGTGGAGGCTTGTTCCCTACTAAGCGCTGCCTTCCTCAGTCTGACGCTGCCGTGGGGAACAGCAGTTTGGGGATCTCTGGGACCTCTTTCCTCCATTCTTCTCTACTCCAGCGGGCTGGATCACTCTCATTTTCTCTTAGAGAATTCTTCAAAGCTATTGGCACCTGTACTTGCCCTATAGCCTCCTACCCTGCCTCACCCGGTTCCGCTATCACCTCACCAGGGTCTCCCAGTGTAACACAATTTAGGATAGGTCACAAATGCTGCACGGAAACGTGGAACAGACTGATGAATCTCAGAGGGAAGGGGATGGGGGAGGGCGAGAAGAGATTAACCAAAGATCTTATATGCATACCAGAGGCCCAGTGTATGAAATTCATGCACAAGCAAGGTCGCTAGTAGGTGCCGGCCACCAGCCAGGCACCTAGCTTTTGGCCAAGACCTTCCTTTGTTCCACACCACCCCTAGTGGTCAATGCATGTCAGAGCAAGTGATGGAACTCCTGGTGAGTCAAACTCCCAAGGGAAAACTTTGCATATTAGGAATATATATATATTTATAGACTAGAGGCCCGGTACACAGATTCATGTACCAGTGGGGTCCCTCGGTCTGCCCTGCAGCGATTGAGTCAAAACTGGCAGTCCATGCCGGGACTGGTTTGGCTCAGTGGATAGAGCATCAGCCTGGGGACTGGAAGGTCCCGGGTTTGATTCCGGTCAAGGGCATGTACCTTGGTTGCGGGCACATCCCCAGTAGGGGGTGTGCAAGAGGCAGCTGATTGATGATTCTCTATCATCGATGTTTCTAACTCTCTATCCCTCTCTCTTCCTCTCTGTGAAAAATCAATAAAATATATTTAAAAACAAAAAACAAAAAACTGGCAGTCCAACATCCCCCAAGGGGTCCGGGATTGTGAGAGGGTGCAGGCCAGGCTGAGGGACCCCACTGGTGCATGAATCCATGCACCGGGCCTCTAGTGCAATTATAAAAAAGAAGGTTCTCTGACCCTTTGAGATAGCATGGAGGGACCTGAAGAGTATTATGCTAAGTGAAATAAGCCAGTCAGAGAAAGACAAATATCACATGATCTCACTCATGTGTGGAATCTAATGAACAACATAAACTGATGAACAAAATAGATCCAGAGACATCTAAGCATGCAACAGAATGAGGAATCTCAGAGGGAAAGTGGGAATGGGTGGGTAGAAAGGAATCAATAAAAGAACTTGTATGCATATATGCTTAACCTGTGGACACAGGCAATGGTGTGGTGAAGGCCCAGGCAGGGCAAGGGGAGTGAGTTTGACGTGTAGGGAGTCGATGGGGAATAAAGGGGATATCTGTAATACTATCATCAATAAAGATAAAATTTTAAAAATGAAATCACACCCTCTGTTCTGTAGTGTAGGCCAAAGAATATGCTATTACTGTGTTTCCCCGGAAATAAGACATCCTCTGAAAATAAGACCTATTTACAGGTTTCCTTCTGAGTGAAATATAAGGCATCCCCTTGAAAATAAGCCCCCCCCTTAGCCTCTGTCTCAGAATGAAAATTAATTTACCTTACTGTATACAGGTAATACATTTCCTTTATTTTCATTTAACAATAAATGTGTACCATATTCTTTTTCATGGAAAAATAAGACATCCCCTGAAAATAAGACCTAGCGCATCTTTGGGAGCAAAAATTAATATAAGACACTGTCTTATTTTCGGGGAAACAGGGTATAGTCTGTGCTTTCTTACCAATTTCTCCTGAGCACTTAATCTTTGTTTTCAGCTCCAATGCCATATTCTTTGATGTTTTGGAAAGTTAGGGGAGCCTGCTGGAGTGAATATTAATCATTTTCTAGGCACAACCAAGCAATGTTACTTTTAATGTTGAATGAAACACAGTATATATTCAATACAGACTCAGGTCCATAGACTGGCTGACAGGGTTAAGGGAGTTGGAAGACAAGGCTGGATGAACTTCTGCATGTTTTATGGGGAAAGAATAGTGGCACATCTTGAAAAGAGCACCCATGTAGGAGTCACACTTGTGAATATAGTTCTAGCTTTGCCATGAACTGGCAGTGTGATACCAAGTTCCTTGCTCTCCTTGTCTCGACATAAGAGGATGAAAGATGGAGAGAGAAGAGGGAAAAGGCACATAAAATGATCTCAAGTGCAGTAGCAGCAAATGTGAGGCACCTACACAATATCCATTCTCCTTCCTTCCCTTCTACCAGAGAGACCTTTGTTTTGTTGGAGGCAGAAATATATCTAGCACTCAAAAACAAACTAACCAATCAAACAAACAAAAAACCACTTAGATTTCCCAGTCTTCTTTGTAGCTGGCCATGGCCATGGGACACAACTCTAGCCCAAAAAATGAAAGTGGATCTAGGCTATAGATTTCTGGAAAGTTTTGCCTCCTTGATGCGACTTTGTCCTGGTTACTCTGTTTCTTCTTACAGCTTGAAATGCAGATGGAAGATGAGAGTTTGGGCTGCCTATGTCTGCACTTCCTACTATGGAAGAAAAGCACACTCCACTTGGTCAAACCACCATGGAAGATGCAGCCAAACTTCTCTTTCTCTAAGAGTCTTAGAAAACCTTTTCTTCTCTTTTAGTATTTCTTTAGGTCTTAAAATTAATTACCTCCACCAATTAAACTTAAACAATCTTGAAAGGAAAAATCTTATTAGTATCTCTCATTTTTTTCTTCTCTGTTCACGTTTGTTATTAGTAATTTGTCAACTTCAGGCATATTCAAAAAATTGAATGTCTAAGCTTTTCTGGTCTAAGTGTCATCTCTTGTTGCCTCCAAGTCTACATACATGCACAAGGTAATATTTAGCAGCATTGGTTCAAGTGGCAATAACCCCAGAGAGCTTCACATTTAGAGTGTATAATTTTTAAAAATATATTTTATTGATTTTTTACAGAGAGGAAGGGAGAGGGATAGAGAGTTAGAAACATCGATCAGCTGCCTCCTGCACAACCCCTACTGGGGATGTGCCCGCAACCAAGGTACATGCCCCTGACCAGAACTAAACCTGGGATTCCAGATCCACAGGCCAATGCTCTATCCACTGAGCCAAAACAGTTTCAGCTAGAGTGTATCATTTTGCTGGAGACTTTACGAATCCCTGAGTAGACAGTCAGAGCTTTTGGTAAAATGCAATGAGATAATTAACAGGATCTCCTTGTTGAAATATGTGCAGAATATATATGTTTAGTATACAATTTCAAAAATTTATTTAACTTCCCAGTAAGGACATGGGTTCAATCCCCAGTGAGGGCACATACAAGAATCAACCAGCAGATATACCAGTACTAGTAAGTGGAAAAATAAATCAGTGTTTTTCTCTCTCCTCTTTCCACCCCCGCACTCCCATCTCTCTCTCTCTCTCTCTCTCTCTCTCTCTCTCTCTCTCTCTCTCTCTCTCTCTAATATATATATATATATATATATATATATATATATATATATATATTATTATATATTATTATATATACATACACACACACACACACACACACACACACACACACACACACACATTCATTCCCTGTGGTACACAGTTTCTTCCAGAAGACTTCATTTCATTCCTGCTCTTTCCAATATGTCAAGAGTGACCTCTCAAATTTGACAATCCTGGCACTGTCACATCCTCCGGAAAGGCAGGGTCCCCGTCTAAATCAGGACTGTTAATTTTCCACCAAAAAATGAGGTTCCTGTGGCTCTAATTTTACTAAAATGCTTCAAAGGAACACATTATTTTTTGTCTTCACATTGCCCCTGACTGTAACAACTGCTTTCCTTGTAGTGTAGTCATCTAGCCATGAAACACGGAGGAGCTGTGTGATTCACAGTACTAGACACCGAATGACATTCTTGGGAGAATTAGCTGAGGTAAACACTAGCAATACGTAATTACAGCATAATCCACCTGAAAGTATCCTTTACATGTCAGTGATCCTAAAACTAAAGGTTTTTCGTGAAGAAAAGAGTGCAATTCATAATAAAACAGATTTATATCCCTTAAGAATGGCAACTTGGGATATCTCACAAATGGAATTAAAATGCTGAGGATTTATCCTACATATTATATTTTCAATATATGTTATAAAGATATATATATATATATATATATATGTTGCAAAGATTCATGTGCAAGGAAACTTACTAGAGTGTTTTGTGTCAAGA